CGTTTTCACGACAACAGCACTAGGTACCATTCCCTGTGGATTTCCTAACTGGTTTAAAGTTAAAGTTGGCACCTTAGCACACCGTTACTCCGGTAGATTTAGTTGGTATTTGTTGGTTACTAAACCAACAAATACCAACTAAATCTACTAGACAGCTAGTAAGCCACTACTAAACTTGGGTTCAAAGTTATTCATGATTTTCACCCATGTTTAGTATTGATGTGAGAATACCAGCTAATAAAAAGCCAAGGTGAAACAAGCTTTGTTCTTATGCTGCTTAAATCTTTGAAATTCTAGTAGTATTCTCGAAGAACATGTAGAAACTTTGCTTGATAATGTTAAGTGAGCAAGTATGTCTACTAGCAATTATAATTTGCTTTGGATTGTAATATTACCGTTGAAGATTCGCTTAATTATGGTAAAACTCTTTCGGTAAGAGTTGGACTACACCAAACAGTTTGTTTAGGATCCAGTTTATTCTGTATAAAACATGTGGGCTCAATCTACATTTATTTGAAAGAAAATGCTTATCATGGCAAAGGAAGTTGGTCTCATTCTGAACCGGAGACGCCTGCAACAATCATTTGACGAACTAATTTTCAATTCAGATGTTGATTCCTTCCAGGTGCCTTTTCCTTGTCCTCTTTCGTTTCTCGGTGAGGTCCAGGCTATTTATTATTTATTCCATCACACTTGGATCCTCATTTCAGTAAAATAACTCTTGTCTACTTCTAAATATGTTCAGATTATCCCTAAACATCAGTGCGTAAAGAGAGTCTCCTGGTTATTTTCTTTTTTCTCGATTACGAATTTAATTGAAGTTGAATGTCGAGTGTTGAGTGCATTTGCAATGCTTTCGGTGGTGTTTCATAAATTTACCGAAGATTTGATAGCCGCAAGATAATTTGGCGTTTTAATATGTTCAGTCAAACTAAACCATCATTTCATGTAGTCACTGAGAAACTTATATGAAATAAAGAAAGGGAACTTCTTTCTAAAGAGCTGGTTTCCCATCCTCATTTTAGAGATCCTGGAGTCTGCTTGTATATTTGGGTTGTATTGTAGACGTATGGAGGATTTCAGGTGAATGCAGCTGTTTCTTCGCAACAATTTAAAATTTTCATACATTTATCTCTTGGCACTGGTGTTATTATCCGTTGTGAAGTCAGATCGAGAACATGTGGAGCATGGTTTTAGTGGAAGATTTAAGAAGGAACATGGTACAGAAGGCGACCAACATAATCTCCATGCTGATCATAAAGTTCTTATAGGTGTGGATCTACGGATTTCATTGTTCGTCTTCTGTTATCTGATAGATTTATTATAGATAGCAAAACTATCATCTTTTGAGGCGACTGTACTGTCATTCAGCTCTATAAATAAATAGCCGTTTTAAAACTATGTGTTAATACTTATTTTCCTTTAGAGAATTCAGGTGATCAGTCTTTCATAAATGCAGCGTAAACGGTCGTTCACGAGTTCTATGTAGGGATCTATGACTTATAATCTTTCATTGGCATTATAATATCCACTTGTCATTTTTATCTTTCTAAATGTTGAGAAAATTTTTTCTTTTTGCCTGATGTACAAATGATAGAATTTGATTTCCATCTTTTCGGTTTAGGTTCCCGAAAAGAGGCCGAAATATTCGATGATTTGAGTCCTGAAGAAGCAAAACGACGTTTGGCAATTTTGGCCAAAAAAATGGATAGAGATGGTGATGGATACATAACCCGTGAAGAGTTAAAGGAAGTGATCAAGCAGTATGTGCCTTTTGCCGACTGTGCATTTTAAAAATTTCCGCGAAAAAAAGACAAAAGTAATATATGTTTTGAAGAATACTAACAAAGTGACTTTTTAGAAAGCTGAACAGTTTTCTACTGACTATTTTCTATTTTTATTTTTGTAAATAGCTAAACAGAGGTAAAGATACAATGTAGTAGCAAATCTCTCGGAAGAAAATCGTTGCTTATATAGTTTGCTTGAGGAACATGATTGCTTTGGATTTGGAGGAATCAGATGATCGTTTCCATGAGATGGATACAAATCAAGACAATGTAGTAACATGGAATGAATATGTGCAGGAATCGTTTGGTGATATCGACCCGGAGAATGAAGTCAATCTGTTCCGTTAATTTTTCGAAGATTTTAGCCAGTTAAAAGGATCGAATGATCATATAGAAATAGAGCGATTTTAAACTCTTTATCCCACAAATCTC